TACACCCAAAATGCACCGTGCAGTGCCCAAGATACATGGAGGATAATTTGACTGAATATGAAGGTGAACATATGTGTAGAGCAAATGCACAGGCATAAAGAGGAGAGGGAACGGCTGAGTCCTTCCAGAAGCACATCCTCCATGCCTCCAATGCAGAATATGCCTGAAGAAATCGTTCAACAAGCTTTAGAGTCGGCTGGGCAGACAGCTGAGACAGCCAGAAGGCAAACAGAGCTTATGGAGTTCGTACATGCAGCATGATTCACCTCGGCCCTCAACTTAATCCGATATTATCATGACATCAGACAATAGTTAACCAACTTTACCCAGAGAAAGTAGGTCGCATCTTTACCCAGCTCATGCCCCTCGCCTTTCCAGAATTCAAGATCACCCAAGTGAAGCTGCACTTAACTCAACGACTAGAGCAGTGGTTCTCAACTGGTTAGGCCTCGGGACCCACTTTTTACTTGGTCAATACATCGGGACCCAACATTTTGAAGCACTCAAATCTATTCAACAAAAAATCGTGCTGTAATTTATGATTTTCAGAATACAATATTAATAAAAGTGAAGTACAGTGCATATATCCCTTCACAGAACTAAAGTATGCTTTTAAAAAAGGTTTAATGAGATGATGGAATCAAAGCTGAACTATATAAAAAGGCACACATCAGGGTTGCCAACTCTCACGCATCTGGCGTGTGACACACGCTTTCACTCTCAACCTCACGCTCTCACGCTGCCCAAACTATTCTCACGCCAAAAACAAGAATACCGAAGACGAGAAACGGTTTTGAAAACTTTTGTCACGTAGTGATGTCTTCTCAATAGAACATCTTTGATAATGTCTTCTGGCCAATCAGAATCACGATAACGGCGTGGTGTTGTTGCAGGAAGTCCCGACGGAGAATACTTTTGCGGTAGTACATCTCTATACATCGACACAACATTACGTGTTGATAGAAATCAACACGTAATGAAATAAGACCCCACGGTTTGATGATTGATAGGTGTGTGGGCTGTCTTTCATTTTGACACACATAACAATGGGGGCTATCCACCCTTATCCACAATGTAAAGTAATTCACACAGCCTATTCCCTCTTCTCTCTGTGAGGAGCAGCAGGTTCAGCTTTCAGAACAAAGTAACAAAAAAATAAAATGGCATTCATTTTTTTAAATATGTCGTGTGGTAATAGATTTATTTATTTTTCTTCTCAAGAGAGTACCAGAATGTGTATTTGATGTTAGTATTTAAAAAAATCTCCTGGGGGAGAATCCCCCAGACCCGACTGCAGGGGTTGGGTTTTCAGCATGTCAACTCTTTCACTTGTGGGGAAATTGCAGGATTGGCTCCAGGTCGCCCTTTTTATTTACAACAAGACAAATGTGCCTTTTTATTTCATACAGTTCAATTTGGATTGAGACAGGGAAATAATCTAAACCTCACGCGTGGCGTTTCACTGTCGGGGGGAGCGTGTATGTAATTACATTGCAAATACTGATTTGAGCCCCACCACTGTATGGGTTAGCCCTACCATAGATTACCCAACAAAAATACTCTGGAGCCGCAACTGCCGACCCGTATTGCGCATGCGCAGATCTAAGATCCAGTAGAAATGATAAAAAAGTAAAAGTCTGCTGCTTATTGTTCTACTAGGCCAAAATAGAGTCAAAGAGTACATGAGAGTGAGAGTGTGTTAATTAATATATTTGGCAGTTTGGAGTAAGTCTGTAGATTTGTTTGTGTGTGTGTGTGTTCCATGTATAGGCCTCTCATGATAATTAATTTTGTTGGATACATTTTACCGGAAATTATTGCGATAAACGATAATATTGTCGGCACCGTTGTATCATATGACCATTTTAGACCACTGACATAATGATAATATATAATAATAATTAAAGTACATCCTTTCAAACTGCTAGTCACATCCTCATGTAAATGGCAATTTATCGAGGTCAGAAAAGTTATCGAGTTCATTTTTATTTATCGTACGATAAGTCAATTAATTGCTTATCGCGACAGGCACACAATAAAACAGTGGAAACAAACATGTTTGACTTTCATTAGTGAATGAAACTGTGTGCCCTTTATAATCTGTGTCCATTATTGTGTATTTGTATATATTGTATATATATCCTATATATATGCTAAGGTCTCGCTGCTGACACGATAGCAGTCATTTCGTGCGCATATGTGTAATTAAACCGAATTAAACCCATGATATCAAAATCTCACTCCAGCCAGGTACCCAAAGTTGGCAACCCTGCACACATGCTGAAAACCCAACCCCAGCAGGGGGGTCTGGGGGGATTCTCCCCCAGGAGATTTTTTTAACTACTAACATAAACTACGCATTCTGGTACACTCTGAGAAGAAAATAAATAAATCATACATATTAATAATATTTTATGCCATTGTTTGTTTTTCACTTAGTTCTGACAGCTTGCTGAGAGAAGAGTAAAGAGGAGATAGTCTGTGTGACTTACTTTAAATTGTGGGTAAGGGTAGATAGCTCCCATTGTTCTGTGACCTGTCAATCATCAAACCGGGGGTCATATTTCATTATGTGTTCATTTCTATCTGAAGTTGTACCCATGGATGTATAAAGAATAGTTCTACCGCTAAGTTATTTTCCGTGGGGACTTCCGGCAACAATCTTGATTCTGATTGGCCAGAAGACTCGAAAAAACATCAGCAGAGATGTTTTATTGAGAAGATGATCACTACGTGACAGAAGTTTTCAAAACCGTTTATGGTCTCCGGTACTTCCAGTCCAACGCCTACTGCATGCACAGCGTTAGAAAATCGGTTCTTCAAAATAAAAGTTTGCCTTTTTTCCCAAAAAAAAAAAAAAGATTCCAATTTTTTTTTTCTATTTTTTTTCTTCACTCACACATCCGCGACCCACTTGAAACGGGTCCGCGACCCACTTTTGGGTCGCGACCCACCAGTTGAGAACCACTGGACTAGAGGATTGAATTTCTATCCATATCCGGTTAATGAATAAACCTTAAAAGGAGAACCTTCCCTCCCTTGTCCTGACTAGACACCCTATATTTTTGTCTATGGTTTTTCCTCTCAATCCAAATATAACTGAGTCACGACATGGAGATTTTTTTCCTGTTGATTCAAATCTCTTACAGTATAAACACTTTCCAGGTGTGGCGTTTATCTTCAGTATTGAGTATAATAACACTGGTAACACTGAAAACCTTTTGTGCCATTTTCAAATGATCCTGCTCTGAACCAATCATATCCTTTGATTCTATCCGTTTTCCTTTTGTAGTCTTCCATGTTTCTGGCATTGGAGGCTCTGTAGTCTCTGATTAGTCTCTTCGACCTGCTAATGGCTTCCAAAGCACCTATCTGGAGTTCTTCTACTCATACAAATCACCGTACTGTGCGTGATAGCCGATGCTGAAGTTTTTAGCACAAAACACGCATTAAGTTCAGGATCTTTGATTTGGAAATGTCTTTACAGTTGTCCATGGTACGACGTCATTGACGCTCAGGTCAAGCATAGACTACAGTCCCTTTACATTCTAATGGGAAAGTGTGTATTATAATCTTATCTCATGTTTGTTTTGTAAGATTGAAGATAAAATAGTTGTTTTAGTGAACTTTCCACATTCAAATGTGTTCTCATTAGAGATCTTTGAATAGTGTTTTGGTCTCTTTTAAAGTCTTGTACGTCTAACGACTACCATTAATTGGGTCAACTGTAATTTAGTGTGATTGATCACAATATGTTTTAACCCGCACATCACTAACTCTGCTATCGTACAATCCTCTTCAGTTGTCCACATATCTTCGCAAGTCCATAACATGGAATTAATCTTTTTCATTCCAAATGACCTGATCGTGGCCTAAAGTCCACCTAAAAATGACAGAATCAGTCAGTTGTTGGTTTTTAAAGCCATGTTCTGGCATTAACATGGGTAATTTACATGGATTAGACATTTCCAATTTCCAATATAATAACTTCACACAAACTCCAAAATTATACTCTGAACAGCTGGCCAGATGTTAACAATGCCTCTCTGTATGTTTGCACCTCACAGCTCATTATTTATTCATGGCAGTCAGTTGTAATCAGTGTTGGGTGTAACGCGTTACAAAAGTAACGGATTTACAGTAATGTATTACTTTTTGCTGTAACGAAGTAATGTAACGCATTACTAATGACATTTGGGTAATATACTACCCGTTACAATTCTCAGTAACGCAGTTACAACACATTTTAACCCGAAATTAAATGGTGTTTTGTTTTTTAAGAATTCACTAACATCGCGAGACATTCCGACACCAGAGAAAAATTGTGCGGGTAGATTAGTAAGCCTGGTGTTTACCCTTCAGGCTCATCAAGATCCCTCCGCTTCGTGTCGGGTTCCCTGATCAGCCTTTCGGGTGTTCTTTTCCCCATAATGACCGCCTCGCTGCACATTATCAGTATTCAGTATGAGTATTCAACTAAACCGTGTAATAATAGTTGTAAGTAGCCTTAATGGCCTACACAGTTGTTAAGTTATGCTATACCACATTGCCCTTCACTGGATGTATAATGAGCTGCACTAAACTACATTTTAGCATTAAAATACCTAGCCATTCTTTTGCAGTTATTTTGGTAAAGTAACTCAAAAGTAATATAAAAGTAGTGTAACTCATTACATTTCAGAGACAGTAATATTGTAATGCACTTATTACTTAAAAAAGACAGTAATAAGTCATACTGTATTATATTTTGGAAGTAACTTGCCCAACACTGGTTGTAATATTCTACTCTAGGGCTCCTATTCTGTTTGTTTCTCAGCAAGAGGAAGGCTTTAATGTAGAATCTGATTCCCACCATGTAAATAATGCCTAATTCATGGATTAATCAACACATGGATGTAAATAAGAATGAGAGATAAAATGAAAAAGATTGAGAGAGTCAAATCTGTAAGTGAACAGATTTCATTTATGTTACATAAGCAAATAAAATACATTGGTTGACAACACAGAACAACTTTTCTACTAAACAAAGAAAAACAGAAGCTTCAGAAACATCAAGACAACTCAAAACAGTGAAATCTCACTAATAACATAGCAACATTTCCCTTTTAATGGCTTTCATAAAAGTCCCAGTCCTGAAGGCCTATATGCATCAAGGCAAAATAGCAAATGAAGGCATGTTTAAACCTCCTCAGTTCTTAATTGCATACATTTGTTCAACACATCTTTAATACTGTACACTGTATGAAATCCTTAAATATTACAAATGAGAAAAATGATATGAAAAGAATAATCCTGCTTAGAGTAGAGCAACACCTCGTTTAAAACAAAACACCAAAAGATTTATGAAATCTCCCCCAAAGAACGCTTTGCTTCTTCAAATTGTTTCTGATTAATTTCTCAGATCAAAAAAGAACATTATTAATTAACGTAACAATTATATTTAATTAATACAGACAAAATGCTTAACCTATTTATATGGATTTAATAATGGGTAATCTTAACATGAAGCCCTACGCTTAGCCCTGTGCGTACATTGCCTCTCGTAAACAGGATTAAACTGGCATGTTGTGTGTATCTCTGTTTGCTGACTTCACAGAAAAATATAACCTTTTCTGGGATTAAAAACGTCCCAGTTTTTTAATTTTTTAAATCCTACTCAAATCCTTGTATCAGGACAGCATAATTGTTGGTTTGAGACCTGTGACCTTTTCATCACCTTCAGTTCCCATTCTCATTTCCCTTTTTCTATGCCCTGTAGTGAGCCACCAGAATCAGTTTGGGTTTGGGGGTGTTAGCAGCAGGGGAGTGTGAAGCAGCTGAGTGGTGATTCGATGAACACGGAGGCACATAATTAGCTCTCTGAGACACATTTTGGATGGAGTTGGGTGTGGGGTTGACGGTGGACGGGGCAGGATCCGTCACATTGAGTTCCTTCTGCTCGCGGCCGGTGCGAAGCGTCCTGGTTGGCCGTGAAAATGTCTTTAAGGTGGAGCCTCTTTCAGGTGTAGAGCATCCAAGGAAGCCCCTGAAACATCTGTAGAACTGGAAACATACACATTGGATTAGTGTCATTCAATTGTGGTCAAAAACTATATTGAGTATAATGAAGAAAAATGCATAACGTTTGTTCCAATAAGTCTGAAGTCTTGAAATCTGGTAAGGACAACCCGGATTTCAAGAAATCAAAGGAAAATAAAACTTTCATTAATAGTCAAGGATTAGGGTTAGGGTCAGGTTTAGGAGGAAGCAATTTGTTTATTAAATTTCACATTTTTAACTCCTCAATAAAGCATATATCTTGTTACATTATGATTTAAGTCACACCAACTACTGATTGGGCTTCTAAGTATTTTGGGATAAATATATTATCTTATATGGTCTTTGGTCCTATGAGATTAGGTGTATCCCAATCAAGTGGTTTTAGCCCCTGCTCCTACTATACTTTGAAGAGCTCTTGAATTGCATAAGGAAAACAAATAGCCTGCATCCAAGCTGTTCCTTAATGTTTTTGTTTCAAAATAAAGTATAAAATATTAAACCCTGTCTATTATCTGTGTGGCGGTGTTGCTGTCTTAAGGGAATTTATTTCTTCCTCTTTGTGTCCTTGTCCACCAATGTTTGTTACTTGCCTTTGACTCTCTTACCTAACAACAACAACATTACCTGTAACACAAAATATTCTCACACTGACATGAAATGAGATGTGTAGCCTACACATAAAGGTTTATAACCAAATGTGAGTTGAAACTATATTGAATTATATTGACACTCTCACATGTAGGATATACAGTATAAGTAGCCTAACTTTAATACCTAATCATCTTTTTGAGTAAAAGTACACATGATTTACTCATTTGTTTTGCAAATCATAGTGTCATATAAAGAAATCAAAAGAAGAATGTCATTTTAAAAATCATCACAAATTAATAAATAAAGTTTATTGTGAGGTTGAAAGAATTCCGTTGATATCCACATCGAACAAAATACTTGTGGGAAAGGAGTATATACGTCAATAGTGTGAGTGCTTTTTTTTTTTTATTCCTGATTTTCTCCATTCTAAAGTATTTTTATTTTTAGTAAAAACGTTGTACTCTACTCTTACTCAACTACTCTAATAGAATTGTAGCGATAATGTGTTATTATGTTTGTAAAAGTAGAACTATGAAAGACAGCACCAGTAAACTACTTTTTTCAACAAAAAAAAAACTTTAGTTCAACCTGCAGTTTAGATAAATTCACAGAGGTAGAAACCAGTTAATATGAGATCCGCATCAGGAGTCAAAGATTGGGTCTTAACAGTTGGTGGTGGAAGAGGGGCGTCGCAGCAAATCAAGGTGAAAGGATTTTTGTAACCATTTGTAGTTAAAATATAATAATATAAAATACATGAACCATAAGTAACTTATTGCAATTTCTTCTTTCTTTCATAATAACGCTAATCAAATATCAGTAGGTGTTGCAGTATTACAAGTTGTACACCTAGTATAGCTGTAGTCATATAGTCATGGTATAAATAAATAGGGATAACAACAATGAATGGGAGCAGACAGTTGTGACAACATAATGAATGGTATGTAATACAGCAGTAGAAGAAGTAGACCTAAAGTACAAGAAGACCTTGTAAGTGACCTTAGCTACGAGTAAAACAGTACCATAAGACTTAGAAATTGAGGTATAGTAGCAGAAATAGACTAGGGTTAGTCTAGTATGAGTGGTGGAATAGTCTATAGCTGTAGTTTTAGTATTAATAATATTAACAGATGACAAAGTAATAGCCAAAAACGAGTATGAATAAAATGAACATGTAACTCTTTATGATGTGTAGAATTAGTACAGTTCTATTGACATCCTTCTTCCTTCCTCCATGTTGGGAGTCGAGCAGGCATCAAGCTCCCCTGGATAAACGTAGTGTACTTAGTATACTCTCTGGTTCCACACGTATACTTTAAGTCAACTACATTTCCCCAGGGCGCCGCAATGCAAATTAGTGTGCCGCATGAGGCACTTCACTACATCTCATTACAACATATGAATGAGTACTTTCCTCGCATGTTTCCAACCAGAGATTGATATGACAAATGAGACCAGTGGTGCTTTTTAACTTAAATACTTAAGCTCTTTCATGATATATGAGCCAATTAATTTTTGTCACCCCGAGGAAATTATCCAGCTTTCAAAATTGGCACTCCATCTAGAATCTTCATGTGTTTTAAATCCTAATGTATTATTTTCCAGAGAGCCGTGATTAGCCTGGTAATAGTGTCTCATTTGTGTATATGTTCCAGGAAGAAAAAAGAAGAAATGTACCATTGAATACACTGCTGTAGACTGTAATATGCCTTTATTCTACCAGACATTATATAAATAAGATTATATATAACCACAAAGTTCTTGTTAGAAAAAACAACGAGTGCACAATTTTTCCTCTAATGAAACCTTTCCCTTGTCCCTATTATGAAAACAAAATAAAGATAACTTATAATTAAACCAGTGAGGACAGGTAAAAAGTCATTACTTTGTTAAAAAAAATGATATGGATTGATTGATTGATTTAAATGGGTTGCAAGCCAAAACGTTCCTGACCACAATTGTGAAAAAGTTTTGGACAAACAGGTGTATCCAAATATTGAAATAAAAAAGGTATTTAGATAAAAAATGAAAAGAAATCCACATTAATAGTACATTTTATTACGCTTTCCTATATCTTAAAAGCAGAATGGTCCCATTCAGAGAGTTACATTATTATATTACTTCTATAGGTTTATTGCTTGGTAGTGATGGACCACATTTTGACAACAAAGGATTGTATACTCTTAAGCACATGTGTTGTTGTTCTTAATCTGTAAAGTTACAGCCAAGATACATGGATGGATGTAATGGAGGATTTAGTACAATATATCCCTCTGAAATGTTGAATAGAAGTATTAAGCATCTTCAAATGTAAACAGTATGGAAGTAAATGTATTTAGTACACCAAAAAGATGTGAAAACCTTATGCAGAAAAAACCTAAAATCAATAAAGGAGTAAATCCAAGATTGACAGCTCAGATCCGGGGAATGAATCTGTGCAGCGCTTTAAGTCTTCAACTCGCCTCAACACACTGCTGCCATAGTTATGGGCTGGGAGGAACTGAAGACTGAAAGTGCCACACAGTGTGTCTTCCTGTGAGTTTATCTGTGGCCGTGGAAGTCCAGTTCGGTAGCTTTATCATCACACACACATAAAGCTAAAAAGAAAGCTTCACGACCAGACGGAGCAGACAGTTGTGACATCAAAGAAATGTAAATGTCTCCCAATCTCAAAAGTGACAGGAGACATGCTGTCCAACAGAGGAGACAGACTGAGGTGGAAGTATAGATAAAAAGAGACAGACAGATAAAAGAGTGTGAGAAAAAGGAAAGGTCACCAGCGCAGTGTCGCTCCTTGATATTAACATCACATGTTAATCCAAAGCTATGTTAAGAGAAGGTTATATTAAATGGATTTCCTTATCCCGCTCGTCACCTTTTTTCTTTCAATACCTGTGGTATATCAGTTTTTTCATTTAGTTCCATCGTTTCCTTTACCCTTTCCTTCACTGTTTCTTATGGTCTTTCTGAAATGTGTCACTGCTTTATCCTTACTTTCTATCTTCTCATTACTTAATGTCTTCCTTTTTATCTCCATTTATCTTTTTTTCATTGCTTTTTCTGTCTATCCATCTTCCCCCCCATTATCTCCCTTTTTCTTTTTCTTTTTTATAAATACCGTCCTTTCTTGTTTTCTGTCTTCCCTCAACAACTACTTACTGTAGACTACCCATCCAAACAATTTCTTCTTCTTCAATCCTGCTACTTTATCTCTTCTTTCATTTACTCTTCAATTGTGTCTTCCCCTTTCTCACTATGTCCTCCCTTTTTTTCCCAACATTTATTGATTCTTCTTCTCTTTTTTCCTCCCTTTTTTCTACCCACGTATTATCCTTCATTGATTTCAGTTCTGTCATGCTGCATTATCGTGTAATTTGTCCCAAAGAGACATTAGATGAATGAATAAAGGAAAAAATCATTCTCAATTACTTTTGAAGAACATTTTTATCCTAGATTACATTAGCAGTTCGAAATACCTGGTTAACATTGTGTATTAAAAGAACCCCACAAAAAAATGACTTGGTTAAGTTACAGTCATACATTTAAATAGCTGCAAGAAGGACTGTACAATCGGAGTGAGAAATAACTAAATAACCTAATACTTACAGTACTCAGGCCACCTGAGTTATTACATTATTTACAGAGGTATTAAAGAAAATCTTGTCAAAATGTCCCAAGCAGTGTGTAGACACGCATGAGTTGACCTTTAATGCTCACACTTGTTCACAGTTATTAAACTAATCTACTAATGACTGTGGTAATGATTTATTGAAGGTGAAATGCTGCTACAAAGACCCTTGAAATGTTCTCTGCTGCCAATTAGGACAGCCAGTGGCATAAACCAGATTACTTCCTCTTCCTACTTTAATTACTGTGCTGTGTGCTTGGATGTGAGTGATATGTATCACAAGCTCACACACAGTGGGCAGAAGCGGTGGCTTGACATATTTGAATGGTGTGTGTATGTGTGTGTGCATGTGCGTGTGTGTGTGTGTGTGTGTGTGTGTGTGTGTGTGTGTTGTGTGTGTGTGTGTGTGTGTGCGTGTGTGTGTGTGTGTGTGTGTGTGTGTGTGTGTGTGTGTGTGTGTGTGTGTGTGTGTGTGTGTGTGTGTGTGTGTGTGTGTGTGTGTGTTTATGCCTTTTAGCGGTTTGCTTCCGATGTTCACAGCTGGATGTGTTCAGTCTGAAGGTGTAAATGAGGAGCCAGCAGATGGAGGAAGGAGGTCTGCATGTGCCTTCACTAACCCTCCCATGGCTGTCAATCTCCTTTACTGACCTCTGTATTTTTCAGGAATAGTAGAGCAGATAAATAGACTGCTGAAACTGACCACATCTGTTTAGTTTAGGATAACAATTTACCACCAAAACACTTTACTTTAACCTCCCTATCTACAATAAAATAAACTGAAAGAACAATAAAAGTTTGCCATAAGTTACAATTCCACTTGTAAAAATCAATCATGTAAAAAGCGATTGAGTTGTTCAGAATGCAAGCGATTTTAACCATTAAACAAAACATCCCGACTGAATCAGACTTTGGCTAAACATGATGCCTAAATCCTAATTAACATTATATTTCCAACTCTTAGCAGGAAAAATAACATTTTGAAATACATTTAACAGACACTTTTTTTTACAATAAACAACAGACAGAAGACACATGGCCAGATTTGTCAGGAAAGCACGGACAGATAGCAATGCATGGAAAAGCCTGCATTATGACGAATGAACTGAGAAAGAGAAAGAAATCTCACCTGTTTGTTCATGAATATATAGATAAAAGGGTTTACGACGGTGGAGAACTTGGCCAGCAGCGACGGCATGATGCTCGCCTGTGGGGTCAAAAGGTCGCGGGGGCCGAAAGTTGAGAGCAGGGCTGCCACTCCATAAGGCAGCCAGCAGACCAGGTAGCACACCACCATGGTGACGACCATCACCAACACCCGGTGCTCTCTGCGCCGGTTTACCACTGAACTCACACTGCGGACCTGGGAGGGGAACAAAAACAATATTGATACACAACAAATAAACACATGGTATGTAAGAAGAAAGGAAAAACAACACAGTTTCGATAACATAAACTTCAATTGAATTGGTCTGAGGATTCAGGAGACAATTATATATATATTTTTTTTACCTGGGGTCAGTTAATGTTAATAAGTTACAAACTGCACCCGAGCTATTATTATAATCGAGCAAAAAAACACCTGCCAGAAGAGCACACACCCTACTGTTTATTGCTTATAAGAGTCATTCATAGGGTAAAACTAATAAGAATTCAAACACATTAGTTACAGACTTTCCTTACGTGTTAGCTGCAATGGATAATTAGGCTTTTTTCCCTTAATGTTAAGCCCCAAGTCTGTTTTTCAGGTCTCAGGCTCGAAAATGACATTCCCAGAACAAATGACAATAGGCGCGTTCACACCGGAGTACTTTTCCCCGTACTTTTCCCGTTTAGTTCTGTCAGTACCCCTTATGTTGCGTTCACACCAAAAAAAGTACTTAGTGCCGGGAACTTGGTGGTACCAATAAAGTACCAATTTCTATTGGCTGGGCGAATTGCAAACCACGCCCCGTAAAACTCTGAAAAGTTTTGTGAAGCCGCCATTGTATTTGCTGACATATTAGCATTATTAGCATTAGCATTAGCCCCGCGCACCAACGGAGAGAGAATAACTTATGGCAACACAAAAAAAAACATCGGAGCGGTGGAGTGATGAGGAGGTATCGGCGTTCTGGCGATTTACTCGGAAGGCTTCAGTAGAAGCTGCTGGGAGTCCCAGCAGCTTCTACTGAAGCCAGTCCCCAACTCCGGGGACTTCCGGCCGGGGACTTTGGGTGGCAGTATACGCCATGAAGTGGTTTGCGGCCTGCCAGTAAACCCAAAGCAGAAGAAGAAGAAGTGATGTCAGCGGCTTCATTTGCGTAATCTTCCCTCAGGGAACTTATTCCGGTGTGAACGCGATCTGTACTTAGTGCCATGGGGGTACTAAGTGCCGGCACTAAGTACAGCAAAGTACTTGGTGTGAAAGCGGCGAATAACTTCCCTTCTAAAAGGGATAAATTAATAATCTTTTCTCTCAAAGCAATGATAAACCTGTGAGTTGGATGTAGAAAAGTCAGAATCAATATAGATTTTTTTTATTTTAAAGTAAATTCAGATTGAACATAGTAAAAAAATGTAAATTATAGTGTCCGTCCAAAAATAAACCATTACTTATAGTGAAAACCACCCTTGAATGATGGGATAGTAGACTAAAAGCTTTAGGAATCCAAACTATAACATATAATAAGTATCCTGTATCAAGATTGATGCAAAACAAGTGACATTCGACCTTTTTAGAGAGGTTTAGCAAAAAAAAAACTTTGGGTGGAAATGGGTGTATTTGCCGTTTCTCTGGAACCCATTGGTCGATTTTGATGATTGACATCTCTTTTGAACCGTTAGAGCCAATAGAATCTAAGGGGAATTTCCACATACACATACGTTACCATTGAGAAGTCAGAGCTATGCGCACACAGTTTGCCCAAAGCGAAACCTATTTTACGCTCTGAAATCTGAAAACTGAAAACTAGGTTTATTGCTGATGGATTATCAGAAATCCTTTCAAAGTGACACAGACACATTGGATTAACCTATGGATTAATCTTCAGCAACGTTTTTATCGTTTTAATGCCATTGAAGACAACTTTTGATCAGAAAACAACAAAGGTAAGACATATTGCAGTGTTGTCTACCTAATGCTATGTGGTGTGATGTCTTTGTTAGCTTTTCATGTCGCGAGTTCGGATCGGTCAGTAATGATACTAATACCTGTCGAATCTGTGCAATCTCAGCTTGCTAATCGATATCTTGTTTGTGCAGATACGATAAGTAATAAGGGTATTTTAACGTGAGTTCTGTGCTAAGTGTGTTAGCATTTTTTCGCTCAGGGCTAACTCAGAGCCTTTGTTATTACCCTTATGTTTCGTTTTGCTAAACATTGTTAATATTGTCTGATAGCTGAGTTTCTTCCCGTTAATAGGTTTTTAAATGTTAAGAAGCCCTCAGACGCTGTTTCTTGCAGATGTTGCGATTTGTTCCCTGCCCGCGGGGGAATGGGGCTTAACAGGTTAAATATTGACTTTTAAAAAAACATTTTTAGTCGTGACTGTTTCCAATATGATGACATTTACAACAGTATTTTGTTACAGATAAACTCAAAATGTAAACAGTTGCTTTAAAGGTGGGGTAGGTAATTTCGGAGAAACCAGCTCGAGTGCGCTAGAATTTGAAAATAAACAAACGGAGAAAATCTGCCACTTCCTTACAGAGCCCCTCCTCCAACACACACGAACGCGCACATGACCAATGAGGGCACGAGATAAGTTTGTGCACAGATGGAAGGCTGACAGGCAGGTAGGCCATCCAGTTATTTTAGCCGGGCCGGCTAAAATGATTGGTCGTACTTTTTACAGTACTACGGCTTCCACAGATGACATTTTTTTATGGATTTTTTGTCAAAGCACTTAAGATATTCATTGCTATCGGGATGTTAAGAGCATTCCATGGAATATAACAAAAACTGTATCTCGAGCCGGTTTCTCTCACCTTTAATTTTGGTCATAGGATCAATGTGTGTTGCTAAAGGGAGAAATAGCTTGAAATGAACCTTACTCTGCCTACATTCCAAAGTTAAATGCTAATGTTAAACTACCTGAGGATGCAACTCCCATATAGCAGGCAGCTCAGAATAATCTGACTGCAATGTTGCCTACAAGAAAACTTGCCAAGAAGTTTCCTTTTTTCTTTCATCTGCACACTCATCTGGCCTGTCTTAAATAGGCAGCAACATTCTGGTTCTAAAAAGTAAAGCCATTGTTGAAGTGGCAAAAACTTGCATTCTTTCTCAAGTAAATATCCCTACTTCTACTTGATTTATTATAACATTGTTTACATCTGTTTATGGTCTCAATGCTAGATTCAAGCCTTCTTCAATGAAAAATCATATCCATTGTGTCAATGATGGTCCCTTTAAAGTCAAATAGATGAAAACGCATTGCTTTAGGGCTTATGTTTGACAAGTTGTCACCATGGTGACCTGTCCATCAGGATTAAGGCACAGCAATACGTCACTCACTCCAGCTCCACCATCTCTTCTAAAGATTGTCACTTTTGGTTCGCAAGAACAAAATAGTAATGTGTAAAATGCAAAACTAACGATAAAGCAGCACATGCTTTTGAGGGGCCGGCTTGAGATTGACTGGTTGTCCAGTTTAGGTGTTGTCAATGAGTACAACTATTGCAATATCTGCCACCTGAATGAGTGCAGACACACATACAATCTATTTATCATTCAGTACATCAACAGAGAGAACCACAATAACAACAGAGCTGAATCTTCATTTCCAGGAGCTGCAAATGCTCGAGTGACATTTATACCCAAACAATCAAATCCTCTTCTGCCAACATAAATATTGCATTAAGAATCTATTAAATATTCATGCGATTGGGAAATATAATTTAAAGAAAATCTAAATTAAACAGACAACATAGTCTGGGAGAGGAATGAGAATGATTCAGACCTTTGTTTTGGTCTGTGCAGTTTCACACTCGAATGCATACATCAGTTTCCATCAGTGGGAAACCCTAAGAATTGACATAGCCACTAATAGAATTCTCTGAAGGAAGTATCTTGCTCCTCATACTATCACAAATATTACTGCATGTGCAATTGTTGTTTGTGCATGACCGTAAGATACTGCATGAAGCTTTGTGTTTTTTTAGTGTTTTTAAATTCAAATCAGGACAACTCTCTTAAACTGACTTTTATAGTAGTCCTACACTTCTTACTTATTTAATATATTTCCCTAACAGCTATTGTTGCCTGTGTTTCTTAATGTAAAGGTCATCAAAGAGGTTTCCATGTTTCTGCCTTTTATCTATAAATTGTATTTTGCATTACTGTAACCAGTTTTAAAAAATGCCATACATTTCATAGCCCCTTAGATAATCACTTGTTTAATTTTGTAAACAAGAAATGTTTGCTGAATGGTGTGGCAGGTGTAAGCAGGATTTATACTGTAAACTTTCATCAAAGGTAAATTCAAGGATGTTCTCATTCCACTGAGACTGCTATCAATTATATAAAAAATTCTAATCCCAATGTCAAGCTCACAGGTGGTAATTTGTCATATATTGATTACCAATTTAAAGAAGGTGGGTCTTTTCTAGTATGAGCTAATCAATAGGCAGACGCCAGAGTGAGAAAGCGGACAGATAACCATCATTCCTAAAGTGTTGTGGTGTAGTTTCTGTAATTTAATTTAACCTGAATTACAAAAACCCAATGATTAGCTCAGTGCTTATGACGTCAGGCCAGGCCGACCATGACACTGTGTGAGACTAACAAAGAACCAAACATGGACCTATGTAAAATAATCAAATCTTGAATTTTTGGCAATTAAAAAACACTGTTATACAGTATTGCATGACACTCATGTATCAGTCTAACCATTTTCCCCACGAGGAGGTTTCGAAACACAATCTCTGCTTGCAAGGGTTTAACCGAGGGGAAACTTGTGTAACTGTTAGACTAAAACCTACAGTTGAGTGTGTGTGTGTAATATATTAAAGGTCTCCTATTATACTATTTGTAGGTGTATATTATAGGTCTCAGATATATAAAAAACATGTCGATTAAGTGTTTTGCTCAAAATACCAAACAGATCACCCATTCTAGCCATGCCTCATAACTCCTTTATTTCAGCCTTGTTAGAGAAGTGCTGATTCTGGGTCCGTAACTTTAAAAAAACAAATGGAGCCGAGACGAGAGCTCATGAAGGACAATTCTACCGAGATACTCTGTTAAACGCTGCCTTGATTAAACGCCATATTTTGTTCCAAACCACATCAAGGATTATTTCTGAAACAGTATGGAGCTCAAATGCTTTTTCTCTTGCGGGTTTACCACAAGGTGTTTACCATTTTATTATCTGCTTCTTT